TAAAAATTAGGCCTTAAAAGGAAGCATGGCTCCAGTTATTCTGTTTAAGCCCATGGAAAAAGTTCTCTTTATTTAAGAAAGTTAGTCAACTTAAAAAATTTACTATAGTCCATGTTCAACTGAGAATAGCTACCACGTATTAAACACTATATGTGAGTCTTAATGTTATCATTTAATATGCATTACTTTCTTTAACCTCCTTAAGAATACTGTGTGGTTAATGTCATTATCTCCAATTTCCAGAGGGAACAAATAATATATTTAATGTGCTAGGATTAGAAGTTGTCTCTGGTTGAAGTTTAATTCTGTCCCACCTAAGTCCTTAACTGGAACCACGCTATACTGAAGTTGAGTGTCAGTCTTCATGAAAGCAAAGCAAAGATTGATAGATTTAATGCTAGGAGGAATGTAGCTCAGGAGAGGTTAAAGTTTCTCTTCCAGCTTCTTAATGTGCTCACATGTTACTTAATAATGTGCCTGGAGACTTTGCCCAAGTGAGTTTAGTTTCCATGTATAATTTTAGAGTATAAAAAGTAGGAAATTTCAAATGACATCTTAAAATTGAGTGTAGGCTATTACAATTATATTTTTAGTATTAGAAAAAATACCCTAAGTACAGTATATTTTCAAAGAAATTTTATCCTTTGATATATTATTTTAGGTGAAAGTACAAGACACATTAAACTATTTGCTTCACAAGTAGGTTTCATCTAATTATATTTTTTGTTTTATTTTGTTTTGTTTGTCTTTTTGAGACAGGGTCTTGCTATGCAGTTCAGGCTGGCCTTGAGCTCACTTTGTAGCCCAGGCTGGTCTCGGAATCACAATGATCCTCCTGCCTCATCCTCCTGAGTGCTGGGGTTACAGACATGCGCCACCACACTGGCATATTTTTTAACTAATGAAGATTATTGGGTTTATATTAGAATTTTTAAAATTTTTCCTTACAAAACATTCGACATATTGAATACAAATTTTAGGACATTTCTGTCTTTCTCAAGACTCATTTTTGTAAGATGAGTGAGTAGTTTGACTAGTAGAAAATAAAGCTATTGCCTAATGGTCCCTTAAGAACACAGAGGTGTGTGTTTGTGTGTGTGTATATTCCCTTTTGCTAGCAAATCATATGTGAAATCCTGTGTGAGAACGTCCTTCCCTATATTCCGTCAACGAGGTTTGCAGTTAGTGTTTCTATTTAATACTTTCAGCTAATAGACATTTGGAAGGAGCTATGAGCTGTCTAGATTAGTGAGAAGTTTCTAAAACACAGTGTAAATTGCGGTTTTCTTTCCTGTGATACAATTATAATCAGTGAAAATGAGCAATTGGAAAGGGGCAGAAGTTTGGATGACTCACAAAGTATGTGTGACTTTTCATTGTTTTATTATTAGAATAAAAACCAATTTTTTAGAATATTGAAACCAATTTATAAATTGTTTAGAGAATATGAGATGAAGCATACTCCATCTGCATACTGACACCTACCTAAAAATCCACTGCAAAATGTTATTAGCTTGGCAGTATTTATTTAATCACTAATTTCATTGATTCTATCATGTTAAGAATGCATCACTTTTCATGCACTTACGAGAAATGTGGGCTATGGGGTATGCAGTGTTTTATCTCTGCCATATACGTAACTTTGCTAAAATAAAGCTGCTCCTAAAAAAGCATTGTCAAAATTGATGACAACTCGACTTTAAGCTTCCTGTCCCCTAGAATTCCTTTGCCCTCTTCTTGATCGGTCAAGGATTCACCGCTCTGCGTACTGAAGACCCAGAATATGTGACGTGAGCACACAGCAGCTGCCGGAGCCAGACTACTGCATGAACTCCTGAGTTTTCCCCTGTTCTCGGTCTCCGTTGCAGCGTCATCTTTAAGGACACTGCTTGTTGGTGCTGTGAAGAAGCCTCGTGCAATCAAAATGCTTTAGACAGACTCTTAGTGAAGCTGATTTTTATTAAATCATTATTGCATAAGCAATTTGAGCTACAAGCGTCTTCCCTAAAGTAGACTATTGGGATGGTATATTTCTGATTGGATTCATTGTTTGAAACATTGGGGATTTAAAATACAAATCCCTTTTATGACAAAGACTTGTGGCCTAGTTTTGACAACTTCCATTTGGCTTTACTTCCTGTCATCTGACTAGTATGGATCATTTGGGTCCTTGAGTGGGAAAGAGTTCCTTAGATTTGGATGAGATGTTCAACATCAGGATCTTGTCATTGATTATAAATTCTTGTCATCAGTTTTCATGGCCTTTCCCTCTGCCCAGACTTTCTTTCAAGCATCTAAGATCTGTTGTCTTTCATTAGCAACCTTGTAAAAGTTAAATCAACTGGAAGACTTAAAGCATCTGCGGAGCGTTTAGTGAGGTCATACATGGTTACACATGGAAGTTAGACACTAAATTATTAGTGCTTGTAGCAAAGAGTAAAAACACTTCAGTGGAACTTTTTTCTGTTGCATTCTTTTTTGCTTAGATGGCTATAGTGTAATTTAAACTCTTAAAAACTTAGAGGGATTTGGTAAAGAATGACATCCTGAATGCTCTGCTTCAGCCAAGCACCTTGTACCACTGGGAACATGAGGAAGAAATGAATGACCATTTCTCCTTACCCAAGCCCTCCCTTCATCTCCATTGGATGGGCACTAAGCATTAGGAGATAGCACAATCTTACATATACTGCTCTTATTCTCTTCTACATCCTCTGCAAGAATTTGATTTTAGCTTCTAAGGAGATTTTGAAATGCTTCTACATACACTTTATAATTTGACTTGTACATCAGCCGTTCTGAGAGTAAAAGAGTCAGGAGGTTTTTTCCTCTGCTTGACAAGGAGGAAGTTGAGGGGCAGACAGAGGGCATGCGAGTTGTCTGACCCAAGAGTCACCTCCTCCTTGGCCTGTTGATAATGTAAGCTGTTGTGCGGTCTTAATGACCTGCTAATACTGCAGCCCGTTGTTACTGTGGAAGAACTTGATTTCCACAGAAAACGAGCCGCAGGGAAGTTTTGATTGGTTCAACATCACATCTGTGTAGTGTTGTAGCTGGAACTCAATTATCCTCTGCTTGCTAGCATGGTATTCTTGAACTAATGCCCTGCTAAAGACAGCAACTTATACTTTATAAAGAGGTCAGGACTAATAGCATTTTACCTTTTTATCCAGGATGAAACTGAAACTCAAAGGGAGAAACTTGCTTGGCACTAGTTATACATCTCATTAATAACAAATGCTGAAATGAGAACCCAGAACTCACAGTTGAAAACAGCCCCTCAGAGCTTTTCAATCCCAACAATCATTAGCAACTAATTACTATGCAATTAAAGATAAAGACTTGCAACCCCTTCCCACCCCACTGGAATATATTATATGGTATGGTTTTGAAAATAAAGTAAAAGAGCTTGATTTAAGGAGGAATTGTATGCTCTAGTTTTGCCATAAACTATTAAATTAAGAACTTTCAAAAAGACAAATTATCATATGCAGGATCATAGTGTGCTGTCCTTTGAACTCTTACAGTAGTACAATTAGTAATTCCAGAGCCTGGAACTCACTGGTGTTTTGCATAGAACTTTGGTATCAATTCACCAACAATTTCAGTTAAGAAAAAAACAATATAGAATGACAGGAGTTGCCAGACGAAATACAGGACACCCAGTTACTTTTGAGTTTCAGATTTTATTTTTAATAAACAATTATTCGGGCTGGGGATTTAGCTCAGCGGCAAAAGCGCCTGCCTGGCAAGCGCAAGGTCGTGGGTTCGGTTCCTGGTACCGGAGAAAAACCAAAAAAAAAAAAAAAAAAAAAAAAAAAAACAATTATTCATAGTTTACCTAAAACTTGCGTTTGGCCAGTGTTCTGTATTTTTATTTGCTAAATCTGGCTACCTTTAGAATGTCTCTTCCATCAAACGCATTCATTATACATTCCTTTCAGGGCATTGGTTTCAATATATAAAGCATGACCTGTTTCTAAAGAAACACACATAATGGGATGCAGTTAATTTTTTTAAAGATACTATTCTCAAAAGTCTTTGTTCTTTGAATATTTTAAGATGGTGTTTTTACATCAGTGCTATAGTGTGCCATTCTTTGTGATCTGATACAAAGGATTGAATTAAAGAATGGGTTGTTGTAAGTGATCTTACGCTTTATGCCTTGTCTGGTTGAATTGGATTTTCTGGTGGTTCTTCATGACAACTATCAACCTTCCTGGAACTTCTGTACTCTTGTGGGCCATAGTAACTTGAATAGAAAACCTGGATTAGATTTCTGGTTTTGGCATTGAATAGTAGAATGGGTTTGAGTCAGCCAGTTAAGTTAGCTCCATAATTTAGAAAGTAGGGTCATTAATGTTTGCTTCAATAAATTTAGACAAAATGATGCTTTCTTTCAGTATCAGTTGGTAATTATTTTTCAGAATTCCAAGCATCAAGGAAAAGAATGGAAAATAGAGATCCTACCTCAGGCTATAGAAGGGATCAATCAGAACTACCAGCCAGATTTCTTGATTCCCATCTGCTACTTTATACCTTTATGTCATACATGTTCACATGAACCCAGCAGTTTGTGCATGCTAAGCACACACCACTACCTCTAAGTTACACTTGAGCCCCTGTAGAGATTATTTATACCATCACTTTTTATTATCAGCCTGATGTCCATTATATAAATAAATGTGCTATGATGATAGTCCACTTTCTATGGTGGCGTTGGGTTGCAGCTTATCTTTGTTATAGCAGACAGTCCCAGAGTAAATTTGCTTGTACCTCTTTTGCCACATGTATGCAGTCTCTGGAACAAAAGACAGATGCATTTTAAAATTTGTTAGATACTGCTTCCTTGACACCCAAAGAGGTGGTATCGATTTTTTCCTATAGCTGAGAACTTAAGAGAATGACTATGGCCCTACACTGAAGATACGTTTATTGGCTTGCAGGCATCCTAGCCTTCCTCCTCAGATACCTAACTATCTGCATGTTCTGTTCTGTAGAGAAATGGTCAATGCATGGTTTGCTGAGAGAGTTCACACCATCCCTGTGTGCAAGGAAGGTGCCCGAGGCCACACCGAGCCTTGCTCCTGCCCTTCGCAGCAGAGCCCTCGGGCAGACACCAGCGCCCCTGGAACACCAACCAGGAAAATCTCTGCCTCAGAATTTGACCGCCCCCTCAGACCCATCGTTGTCAAGGATTCTGAGGGAACTGTGAGCTTCCTTTCTGACTCAGAAAAGAAGGAACAGATGCCTCTAACCCCCCCACAGTTTGACAATGGTGAAGGGGACCAGTGCTCAAGACTCTTGGAATTAGTGAAAGATATTTCTAGTCATTTGGATGTCACAGCTTTATGTCACAAAATTTTCTTGCATATCCATGGACTCATTGCCGCTGACCGCTACTCCCTGTTTCTTGTCTGTGAGGACAGTTCCAACGATAAGTTTCTTATCAGCCGCCTCTTTGATGTTGCTGAAGGTTCAACACTGGAAGAAGCTTCCAATAACTGTATCCGTCTGGAGTGGAACAAAGGCATTGTGGGACATGTGGCAGCGTTTGGTGAGCCCCTGAACATAAAAGATGCGTATGAGGTAAGTAGGGACTCGAGGCAGGAGGTAGGGAGGAGAATGTGGCTGGAACATTGCACCACAACTGTGAATGGAGGGGATGTTTGAGGCACAGTGTAATAAATTTCATGTGCATTTAAAAATTACATGTATGGTAAGAAGTTTTTCATCTTCTAAATTCCAGAGTGTCTTCTCAGGTGGTTCAATCAAGCATAGGAAACTGAGGGAAATCTTACTGCATTTGTTTACTTAATCACAATGTAAGATAATTTCACAGAGATTCTAAAATGACAGGCCCCAAAACTGTCAAAAGAACAAACCAACCCTTAATTGTTTTTCATTCATTCCTTTACTCAGAAGTTATCTTCCTTCAGTAAATCATATTCATTCATCCTCATGGATGCCAAAGTCTGATTTTCTTTCAACCCATCTTTTCTGTCCTTTGCTTTTTAAACAAATAAACTTATGGGTGTCTCTTTTTTTAAAAAAATGGAAATTTTTGAGCTGAAATACTTCTGCTGATACTTCTGCTGTAGCAACAGCTATGCTCAGGACTTTAATTATTAGTTAAAGATTACACTCTTTCAGTTCTTCAAGTTTCTCTTTTAAAATAATCCCTATTATTATTAGAACTGGAACTGTTAAACAAAGAATCTTAATGAAATGATACTTGGTTTGCTTGTGAGGTAGTTTCTTCTTCCTTGATAGAAGAGTTGTGCTAGCACCCTACTTTGCAGTACCCTTTGAAGATTCATTGTTAATTCTGGCTTGCTTTATGTAAGTTGAAGAGGCTTAATTGCTGTGTTTTCTTCTGGTGTCTGTTACAGAGCCCAGCAGAGAGATCTTAATAAATACTGGTTGGATAAAAATAATAGTTGATGCCATAGATGAATAGAATTTCTGGTAGATATTTCAGCTTTCTGGTAGACAGCAGTAGATGCCATGGAAAGTGCAGTCCAGTTCGGAGAAACAATATCACCTCCAGTCTAGGAAATGGAGAAAAGTGTCTTCCAGAATGCAGTGCTTGACAGACCTTGGGAAGTAATAAGCTTTGAATGTAAGAGCTGGAAGTTTGAAGAAGAGACAGGGAAGCTGGAACATGCACATGCAGGTGTCGGAGTCAGAATGGACCAAGAGGAGCTATGAGTGCATGGCCAGGAATGTGCCCGGGTCTCAGATGCCAGGCTGAGCCAGCGTGACTCACAGCAAAGAGGAATAGTAATTGAAGATGTTTTGGAAAGAGGCGTAGTATGGTTTCAGCCATCCTTAGAAGGATGAGTTTTCATCTTCCTAATCATAAAATGAATTAGAAGGAAAAATACTGGAAGTGGGGAGGATAGAAGGTTCTTTCAACAATCTAAGTATAAAGAACTGAGGACCCAAACTGCACTGTGGCCTGAAAGATCACAAGGAGGGGATGGGTTTCAGCTGAGTTAGAGTCTGCTGAACTTGGCAGCTAATAGGAGATTGAAGAGAGAGGGGAAAAGAGAAATCAAAGATGTCTCAGGTTTTGAAATGGGTGATTGAATAATGCTGCTCGGGCCGAATACTGAGGGACTGGGATTCAAGATCTGATAGTTCAGGTAGGCTAAATCTTGAGATACTGTTTCAGAATCTGTTCAGGCTAAGCAATTTTTTCAGTTTTGATTTTCTTTGAAAAAATGTTCCAGTCTTCATGGAGCTGTCTCCATGACCTCTTTGAGCTCTGCAGTAACGTCACACCGTATCCAACTCCAAGAGGGGTATTAAGGACACAGCTGAAGGATTGCTGCCAAATTTGCAGAATTCCCTTCCTGTCTTAGGTGACAGCTGGCTTTCCACTTTTCAATGGCACTATAGTCCCAAGTACAGTAGGACCATAAATATTCTTCAGCTTTGCTGAGAAAGCATTCATTTGTTTGCGTGATCCTACGTGTCTCCAGGCCTCACAATTCTGCACTGCCACAGATTTTTTTTAATCTACTTAACATCTTTAAAGTTTTGACAATGTATTTTTTGTTTTGCAGTTAATAATGATTTAATTCTTGTACCACCATCTAAACAGCTAGGGTCCTTGATTTATACTGCTACCGGAGTGAAGCCTTCTCGGGGGAATTCCTCACATTGCCACTTCCTCCGTGGACCCCTGATCTGTGTTTATAGTGGTCTTGCAAAGTTGTTCATTTAAGAATTTCATTATAAATTATGGGAGTTGATCTGCTATCTGACTTCTATTATGATGTCATGCACATTGGTATTAGCAGCAGAAGTCAGTTGACTAATGGATAATTCAGCCTCATCCACAATTTGACACCAAAATACCGACTCATCGTGTTTTATGAAAGTGGTCATTCTGTGAAAATACTTTCTAATGTCTACTGGGCCCTATTTAAACCTTCATCTGTGGGAATGCCACACAATAACAGTATTTCTTAAAATTGTTTGATCATAGAATGTTTTCAACTTTGTCATGGAGTAGAGGAAAACCAAGAGTTGGCTGTGGAATATCATAATGCTCAGTTTGAAGCATAGAATTGAAAAAAACATAATCTTAGAGATAAATTAATTGTAAGAATGACCAATATTGGATTCATTTTATAAAACTTTGCTACAGAAAATGAAATAAAATGACATAAATTTGGTGTTTAAGGAATTAGTTACCATCCAGTACCTACAAAACATTACTTTCAAGACCCTGTCCCTATGTCCTAAGGAAGTATTAAGCCTCCCCAAGAATTTCTATATCTTGAAGATTTATGTTGTCAAAACATCCCGTTTTGTCCCAAATTAACTGGGATGCAAAATTCACACTGTTGTTGCTCCAGGATAGGCCCTCCTTGGGTGCTTTGACTTCTAGAGAGAACACAGGGGCTCTTTAGGGAAGAGTCACATCTCCTGCCTGGCTTTCAGCATGGAGCCTCTGCTTCTTCCTTTCCCTTTAGTCTTTCTGCGGAGAAACAAATCGTCACCTTCTCTCACCCTGCAGGTCTCCTCTACTATTTCAGGTATTTTTTGTCAAGATACTTTTCCAAAGTAATGTGAACTCACGCAAGTGTATTACTAATGAATAAAATTACTTCTGAAATAAATTTTATAAGAGAAAAGAAAACTAGCAACTACTTTAACTTAGATAAATCTACTCAACTCTCAAGGTGTAATTGTGCCCTAGAGAACACATTTTGGAACTGCTGGGTCTGTGCTTGTTCAGTGTTCGAATTACTTTTAGTAATGGTATCCTAAAGGCACCATTTTATGGAAGAAAATGAGCCTTCAAATTTGCAAGTCCTTTGTGTTATTTCCATCTTTTATTTTTGTTTTTTATATTTTTATCTTATTTGAAGTTCACAGAAAATTTGCAAGGCTTGCAAGTTTTAGATATTTTCAGATGCCCTTTTAGATTCTCTACTTGTTTTTTTGTCCTGTTTGATTTATCATTTCCTCTCTCTCGCTTGCTTTCTAATAAGTAATGTACACTTATTTTTTGAACAACATAAGAGATGTTTTATTATTTTATTGTATATTTCTTAATAAGAATATTCTCTTACCTCATGATAAAGTTAAACAAAATCAGGAAATTCTGTGTTCTCCATTGGTACAGTGTTATTATCTAACCTGATGCAAGTTTTAATAGTCCAGAGTAAAAATTTTGTCAGTTTTCCCATTAGTAAGTAAACTTTACATAGTTACTAATTTTCCCTTCTGTTCTGGGATTCCTTGTTATATGTGGTTATCATATCTCTTTAGTTTCTTTCCAAACTGGAACAGTATCTCACATTCCTTCCTCTTTCTTGACTTTGGATACTTTTGGAGCATAACTGGAGGTCAGTTATTTTGTAGAATGTCTTTCATAAGTAAATTTAACCTAGACCCTTTTAGGAGGGTTGTCACAGATATTAGTGTTCATCTTGTTTTTCAAATCACAACGAATTCTCCCATACCTGCAGGTGTTCCATAATCCAATTCAGTTCAGACCTGCGAGCCCTCACAGACCCTATGGGTTATGTTCTCAGTCCCACAAGACAGCTGTCTTCAGACACCAGCGCCAGATGGGATCTCCAAGGGACTCACGGCAATTCGCAGCTCCCCCACCCTTCTCACAGGACCCCCCAGGCTGTCCTTCCAGGCTGACTGCCGTTTACATGTGCCCACGACATCCCTCAGAGTCAAGGGTTTGATAAAATGACTCTCTGAACTCCAGGAGGCACTAGCTCTGCAGTGTCCATTTTGTTAGACTGTTACAAGCAGCCAAGTGGAAGAGACACACAGGACGAGGCATGGGGACCTAGGACACAGAGCTTCCTGGCTCTTTCCAGGTCAACAGGCTCTGATAGGTTCAACAACCCAGAAGTTCTCCAGCCCCATTTTCAGAGTTCTTATGGAGGTTTTACTAAGTAGGCAGATTGATTAAATCATTGGCCACTGGCAGCTGGATTCAACCTCCAGCCTCTTTAGCTCCCCGAAGAAGTTGATACTGGGACCAAAAGTTTTAACCCTTTACTCACCTGGTTGGGTTTTCTAGTGTCCAACCCATCCTCCACCCAGAGAAGCCAGCTCCTCAGCGTGAACGTAGGCATGCTTGGAGGGACCTTCTTACGGATGTCAAAATTCTGTCCTGTCATGCAGAAGTTCTCTAAATTTTAGGAGGTCTGTGCCAGGAACTTGTGACCAAAAGCAAATGCATTTTTCATTACACCACAAATCTTAGTGTATTTTATCAAGAAGCACATGTGGTAAGTTTACCCTTGTATTCATGGTGTTAGATTTGATTATACAGTGGTATCAGTTCGATCATTCACTGGTTTCTTAACTCCCATTATATCTTCAGTGTCTATTATCTGGAATTTTAGTATAAGGAAGAGTTTTGTCTTCTCCATTGTCAGTATGGACTCATGGCTTTCTATTTAATGAATTATGATCCATTATCTTTATTTTCTTGATTTTCATATGATATCAGATTTGCTGCCTCTTGTGTCTTTGTGACACATCCTCGTGACCTTTTAAGTGTTTTGTCAGTTTCTGCCTTATCAAAATGTTTGAGGCATGTCTGACAATTCTCCTGCCCAGTCTTAGAATCATTTTTTTTGCCAAGGAGGCCTGGTTCCCTTTAGTGGAGGGATAATGTTTAGAAATCAAGTAGGGGAACTAGATGTGCTCAGTACTTCTAGTTTGTGTTCATTTCTACTGGTGTGAGTAGCCAGAACTAAGAGAAATGTATGAATGTCCACCCACACCTATATTTTATTTCTAGTCTATCTACTTACTATCTTTAAAACATTGTATTTATGCTGATTCCTCCAATTTCAGGGTGGTCCTCAGAGTGCATTACATTTCTTCTTCTTTTCTCTGTTTTGTATTTACTTCTCCATGAATGAAAAATCAAGGTTCTTTATTATTTATCTATTTGCTCATGTGCTCCAGCCAAGTTCTTAGCCCTTTATCCTGAAGTTCTCCTTCCACGCAGATGGTAAAACAGCCCTTATCATGTCTTCTGTTCCATGGTGACAAATCCTCAGAATTTTAGCTTATCTGAAAATGGCTTTATTATTTTTTTTTTGAAGACTATTTTCACTGCATACAAAAGTCTCAGTTGATAGTAGTTTAATTTCAAGATTTTAAGACTCCTCCTCCTTTTTTTAGTCTTCATTTTTTTCTTGAGAGTTCATTTTTCTTTGTACCGTTTTAATTTTGTGTGCTTCACCCTATTATTGCTTTCACACCAGGTAGGTAAGTTTAAGGTTTTCGTCAGCTTTGGGAAGATTTTTTTATATATCTTTAAGTATTCCTAAATTCAGTTCTCTTTGAGACCCCAGTTACATACTTTGTATATTAAACCAATCAACATTGCCCAAGAAAGTATCAAGGCTGTTAATATTTCATGTTTTCTTTCCTCTTAGTCTTTTGTCTGCATAGGTTCTTCTTGTTATCTATATTCACTGATTCCCCCCCCCCTTAGCTATTTCCAATCTGCTCTTAAATGTATCAATGAACTTTTCATTTAATACATGGCATTCCATAGTTCCCATCGAGCTGTTTTAATAATTTTTCCTTTCTTTGCAGAGAGTTACATCTGGTTATTATTGCTAGATTTTCCTTTATGTCCCCAAATACATTTGTTAATAGTAGCTTTAAAGTCCCTATCTAGGAATGTCAACATTTGAATCATCCTGGGCTCATTTTCTACTTACTATTTTTTCTCTTTTCTGTTACTTGCATTTTTCTATTTCTTCATATGTATAGTAATTTTCCACTGTATATAAGACATCATGTGTATTTTACTCTGGAATGAGATTTTTTCTGGCAGGCAGTAAAATTACTGGCAGATCCCCTTAATCCTCTGAGGCTTGGTCTTATTATGTTATGGTGGGTGAATTGCAATTTAAAATTTAGTCTTAGGTGTATCCCAACCTGTCGGGTGTATTCCTTACTCCTAAGAAAGGGCTTTTCTGTCAGTTGGATTGTCTGATGGGCTGAGTGAATTCTTCACTCTGGATACACTCCCCCCGCCCCCAGTATCATTATTCAGCATTCAGAGTTTGGCAGCAAAGTTTTGCTAACTCTCAGAGTTTTTTTTGTTTTTTGTTTTTTGTTTTTTTTAACTCTCAGAGTTTTGACCTGTGCATGTCCAAAGTGAACAGCCACTCCATCCTCTGCAGCCCTCTCTTACCTTATCTCCTCTGACCCCTGTAGCATAACATCTCCATGCTGATTTGCAAATTCCAGCCACTTCAGAAGTCGGAACATCTTTCAGTTCTTTTTGGAACTGTTGCTTTATGTGGGTGGTACCTGCCTTTTCCAAAACAGAAAGTACCCAAGGCAAAAAGCCAGAATGTCCCTTGGTAGTCATGTATCTTTCCCTCTTTTTGTCTGTGGCTCTGTCTAGATTATGGTTATCTTCTGAGGGAGGTAAGTCCAGTACCAGTTCCTTTGTTACAGCAAATGATAGCCAGTGCTTGTGTTTTTTCATAGTGTCATGTTCTCATAAACAGTGAAAGGAATAACTGCTGTAACGGTAGTGTTCCAGTTTTTTTTAGGTGTTTCTTGGGCCTGGACTGTGGAGAAGTCCTCTGTGCTTACTCTCTGCCTCTGCCCTGACTGCACTGTTAAAGGAAACACTGAGATGCCACTTCACTGAAAGTGCATTTGAAGGGTATATTCATTCCCACTCATTTCAATGAAGAGAGACATCCGGGATTGCTGTTGATTTTAATCTAATAAGTGACTTCCCCAAAGCTGTAAAGTCCTACTAATTTCCATCAACAGTTAAATTACTGCTTTAACTAACTAGTTGAGTTAAATTCTCTTCTTTATAAACTGGTCTTGTAATTCTAGTATTCATTAGTAAAATAATTTCAGAAGGTGCATTTTTATTCACATTTGGACTTATTAGTTTGTAAAATAATTCACTATTTGACAGTCATTTTTAATGGCTTGAATTCATCAGTTATCAGTGTCCTGTCTCCTTTCCTTAGAACCCTTGCAATCTAAAGATAAAATGCCTAGATATTTAAAGATATAACAAGAACTATTTTACTAGAAGCATTTAGCTATGGCCTTCTGTGTATCTCAATTAATATAACCTTGAGCATGTTTGCAGAAAAGGCAAAATACTGCAATATGCGTAATATAAAATATTTATGCTGATTTTCCATTATTTTATAACTTTTCTCCTGAAAATATCTTTAAAGCCAAGTTTGGCCCTCTCGAGGGAAAACTGGCCTCATTTCTGACCCCATTTGATGAAATCTAATGTAATCACCCACTTCATTCACAGCTTTGGCTTTGCATGACTTTAAACTAATTTAATGAAAAAATAGAAATGACCTTCAAAGATGCCAATTTTCCAGTGTGGATATTCCGTATTCTCTGAAGGGAATTCCAAATGCAGAGTTTTGGGAGCAATGATGCTATTCTTAGACTGAGTGTGTAAGTTCCCAAGGCGATTGCTTTGAAGAGAGGAACACTCATTCAGATGTTTATGTTCTGGAATGTCTGTTTCCATTCTAACTTTATACCATGTATTGTATCTGTTGATTTTCTTCTCCGTGGTTTCGCTCTTGCCTGACAAGTTTTGCTTTACACTGTACTAAGAAGCTGAAATGGTCACTTTTGATAATTGTAGCATTTTTCATTAATGAATTCCCTCATTTATTTATGAACTTTAAAAAACTCAGTGTTTGCAGCTTAATTTTAAATCTTTGTAAAGTTTAATTGAAAATTGCCTTTTGCCTTTCTGTAACTCACATTTAGAACTTTTCACCTTTCAAAAAAGCCCTTTGTGATTCTTTATCATCTGCTTTGAGAAATAAGCACAGATTCAAAAGATTAAGGAATTCCTTACAAACTAAATCTACACATCATTTTTGTACATACAGAAAGATTTGTAATGAAAACCTGAGATACTATTTCTAGTATAGAATACTGATGAAGTGCAAAAACAAGTATAAAGGAAGCCATTTATTGGAAAGGTGTCTTAGAAATGGTAGGCTTTTAGAAAAAGATTTTAGAAGAGATGGTTTTCTATGGATGATGCAGTAAAATCAGGCAATGAGACAGATAGGGACAGATAAATTGTGCCACAAAATTTGAGATATACCACTTTTCCATAAATTATCCAGCTCTAATTAGTTAATATTTTGAATGCCTTTTATTTTTTAATGTTTGTTTAAGTCTGATTTGGGGATTTTTGTTTGTTTCTTGAACGTAGCTGCTAAAAACCTTAGATGTATCTTTGTCAAAGATGATATGTACTTACATGGTTCAATGCCTTTCATAATGCTAAAATTGATACTCAGGGTAACAATGTAAGTCAAAGGTTACATTTCTGGAATCTAATAAATTAGAAAGATTGAATTGATCTTTGTTCAGGTCAGTCATTAAATTAAATTTCTTTTTCTTTACTAGGATCCTCGTTTCAATGCAGAGGTTGACCAAATTACAGGTTACAAGACACAAAGTATTCTTTGTATGCCAATTAAGAATCACAGGGAAGAGGTAAGACAATTTTTCATTTTATAAAAGGTCATTTGGAAATATTGCTTTCTTTCTGGAAAAAAATTGTTTTTACTTTGCACATAATGCGAAATGCACAAAATGGCGAGTTGGCTTTTAAATTAGCATATAAATAACTTAAATGCACTGCTTGGTGTTTTTTATTTACTTTACTTATAGGGTTGAATCCGTATAGAGACTTTACTATCATCTTTGTCTTAGAGTAAGCATTATATGTGTCATTTCCTACCTCCTGTCTTCCCAAATGCCTTATTCTTTTAAGATATATAAGTATGGTTGTGATTAGAATCAGTTTATTTCATATTATATTTTAAGCATCTGACTCACTCATTTCATAAAGGGTCAACCAGTTGTAATGATCAACACTTGATTCCTTTGCATTCAACTTAGATTTTTTAAAAATAGAAATTATAGCTAATTAGAGAATGAGGTAGGAGGATCCCAAGTTTGAACCCAGCCTGAAATTTACCGGCTTAGTACAACCCTGTCTCATAATAAAAAATAAAAAGGACTGGACATGTAGCACAGTGTGAAGGCTCTGGGTTCAACGCCCAGCACTGGCAAAGAAAGACGGATATCACATGTTTTCACTTATATGAGATACTCAGAAGACAAATAGGGAGCAAAATAAAAGAAATGTTAGGAAGCAGGGAGGTAAAGCATGTAGAGACAAGAAAAGGGGAACAGAAGCTGGGGTGGCAGAAGGCAGTCTGATTGAGGCGCACTGTATATGTGTACCAGCTCCCCAACGTGAGTGCAATCATTGTGTATCGTAAATGTAGACCAGCAATAAAGATTAAAAATCTTTTAAAAAGGAAGTTATAGCTAATTCTAATTGTGTAAATTTCCATGTGGAATTGTAACAAGTAAATGGAAATATCCTCATTTCTATTTCACTTAACTAGAAGATCTAGACTCTGCTGCTGCTGAGTAACTTCTTCACTTTACCCTTAGGTGAAATAAAATAGTGAATAAGTTATCAATTAAATGGTTGAACTGTGCATTCTCAATCCTGACTGCACATCATGACCAGCTGAGGGATTCTAATGAACTGCCAGTTGCATGAGGATTCTCCGGAGAAATAGATTTCAGAGGGTGCATCTAGATCTAGGAGCAGATTTATTATGGGAATTGGTCGTGTGATTTTCTACGTTACTGCTAAAGACCTGGGAAACTGGGTGGTGCAGTTTACTCCCAGTCCTCAGGTCTGGGAAACTGGAGAGCTGCTGCTGTGCGTTTCAGCATCCAAAGCCCAAGAACCGGGGCTCTGATGTGCGGGATGATGGACATCCCCGTTCCAAAGGACAGGGCACTTCTCTCCCTCTGCCTTTGTGTCCCATCTTGACCCTGCGTGGACTGGATAATTGGTGATGCCTGCCCACTGGAGGATCTTTTACCCTTTCTACTGGTTCAAACACTGTTTCTTTCTTGAACCGCCCTCGCAGACACACCCTGAAATAACACTTTCCAGGTATCTGGATATCCCTAAACCCAGGCAAACTGGCACTAAAGTTAAGCAGCAATGCTAATTAATTTAGAATATCTAAGGATAGGATCAGAATGCTTTTGTTTTTAAAGCTCCCCAACTAAGTATAAGTATAACCAAGGTTGGGAATCACTCTCTTGGTGAAAGGAAATAGATTGGAAGATTTGTAGTTCTTAGCCATAACTGCACACTAGGATCACCTGGGAAGCATTTAAACTTTCTCATATCCAGGTTGACCTTAAGTCACAATTTCTGAGTTGGGTCCCAGGTTCAGTGTTGCCTAAAGTCCCCACGTGATTACAGTGATTTATGCCCAAGGTCAAGAACCACTTCTGGTTGTATTAGAAATGTACATGGTCCCCAACCTACAATGGCTTGAGGTATTTTTGTTTTAGTGTTTTTATTTATGGAGCTGCAAGAAATACACCAGCAGTAGAAAGTCTATTTTGAATTTCTGAGTGTTGATCTTTTTTTAGGCTAGTGATATGCAGTAGACATCCTGCTGTCATGATGCGGGGTGCCAGCAGCACCTTAGAGAGAGAGCCTCCTGGTCTTGAGGGGAAGCAAGTGGTGTCATATAGTGTAATGTGCTGCTGAGCTCAGAAGTTTGTAGACTAGGTGTGTATGCATTTTCATCTTAGGATATTTTCAGTGTTTGCTGGGTTTATTGGGATAACACCCCATCATAATAAGTCAAGGAGCATCTGTAGCTGATTTATATTGTGACATCCTTCTGTACCTTTCTCCATCCACTCTGCTACCAGATTCCATTGATTTCTTTTTTCCATTAGTGCTTCCCATTTCAGTTTCTTTCTTTTCATTTGCTCTCTCTGAACCATAATTCAGATCTTGAGCTCATGCCTGCACTTTTTAAATGTTTTTGCAAGTCTAGAGTTTCCGGAGTGGCAGGCAGTTTCTGTCCAGTGCACCTTGCATAGCCCTTCCCTGGGATTTTCCTAAAACACAGCTTTCTGAATCAGTGCTCTTAAAACCTGAGGGTACATGGGAATCCCCTGGGGATTTTGTTCAAATGCAGATTCTGAATTCATTAGGTTTAGATGCAACATGAGATTCTTTTCTAACGAGTACCAAATTGATGATGCCCGGATTCTACAGATCCCAGTTGAGGTCCACCTGCTTCGTAGCAGGTGTGATATGAAAACTTTACACTCAACCCAATTCCAGCTGCCTCCCTGACATCTCATTCCTCTGCATCTCAAGATTATCGTGGTAAAGTGCTACGTTCTGTGCTTTGCCAACAGAGAGGAAAGACATTCTCAAAATTCTATAGATACAAAGTGTGATCAAAATATACAGCGAATGTTTACATTTTAAAAATGTATTACAGTAACAGACACATTGCCATTTATCCCCCTCAAAATATTACCCTTCACTTCAAACACGTTTGTCCCATTATTCTTACCACTTTTTGAAGCAGTTCTGAAAGTCTGTTTCATGAGTATCTTTACAGTGTGTGATTAAAACTATAGAGAAGGCTGCTCCCAAGTGCCACCCAACAGAAAAGCAGGTTCATCTCAACATTATGGTGTTCCCCATCCACTGTATTCCCCAGATCTTGTACCATGTGCCTTCTGGCTCTTCCCTTAAATCAAGGTGACCAGGAAAGGTAAACGTTTTGAATTGAGGACATTGTCTCACAACTAGAGACATTTATGATTAATAGCAAATGTGTCTTTTACTATAAGTTAAACAGTCAGTATAGAAGACTGTTCATAAGTGTACAGTGGATGAGCTTTGATAAATGTGTATCCAGCCATGTGACCCCACTATAATCAAGACACAGCACCTTTCTGTCACCTCTGAGAACTCCTAACCTCCTTTGCAGTTTAGCACTTCCTCCTCCTTCCACTCTCAGCCCCCAACAATCACTGACTTGCTTTTGTCACTATTTTAGGGTTTTTTTTTTTTGAGACTACTATACAAGTGGAATCATACAGTATGTGGTCTTTTGTGCCTAGCTTCTTTTACTTGCCATAATGCTTGTGAGACTCACCCATTTAGCTGTGTGTATCATTAGTTTGCTCCTTTTTATTACTAAGTGATTTATTTCATGGTGTGGATATGTACCACAAAGGTTTATTCACTCAGCAACTGATCAACATTTGGGGTTTTCTAGTTTTTCTCTGTTCTGATAAGAGCTCCTGTCAGTGTCTGCATGCAGATTTTTATGTGGACTTGTGTTTCCGTTTCTCTTGGGTAAATGTATAGTAGAGTAATTGCTCGGTTGTAGAGCAGATATATGTTTAATCTTCCCTCAAGTTTTCAAACTCACATCTCAAGTAGCTGTTCTGTATAACATTCTTACCAGTAAAATAGGAGAGGTTGAGTTGCTTAACATCCTTAACTCTAGCCACTTTAGTGAAGGAGACTTAAATTTGACTACATGAATACAGATCTGATTAAAGTGGGCTCTACTGCAGGTACCCAGGAGTCCAAAGTTCTCCCTCAGAGCTCTGTTGAGCTCCTGAGCTTTCTCTGTCCTTCACCATGCCTTTGTTCCCTTTCTTAGTGCCTCTGTTTTACCCTGTGACAACTTGATAAGAAGCTTGGGCTCTTCTCTGATTTCCAAAAAGGTTCACTCACACCAAGCATTCCAAGAGATTAAAAAACATCCTTTGGGTGTCTTCATTGGAGTCTTACTCCCTTTTTCAAGACAGGCTTTCAAAACACAACTTTTAAATGTTTTGCTGACCTTCTCTATTCTCCTCTTGCTGCCTCTTTTCCCAGATTTGCATGGCCCAGTTTGAAATTGTTTCCTGTGAGAATTAGTTCTTCAGGAGGAAGGAATGAAGAGAAACAGAAAAGTAGATAGACTCTCGGTGCGGTAGTTATAGTGTAAAAAAGTAACTTGGCTGAGCAAGAATCAAAGCCAATAACAAGACATAGTATATGACTTCCAGGATTGTCTCTAAATTTATAGCTATGTAAACATACTTGGGTCACCATGTGCTTTTGTAGGAGCATACAACTCTTCTTTCTCGTGAAATTTTCAAAATCAAAATGTAGAGTCCCAGTTTGGCTTTTGGGAGTAATTGTGAAGATTGTTTGCTCTGGGCTTGAATCCGCTTTACCACTTCCTTGATGACTAACCAGGTCAGAACTGGTTAATCCCTTTGAGCTTCACTTTCTTCATCTGCAGAACAAGGGTAATAAAAGGGCTTGTTGGGAAGATCGAACTCCATCGTGAGTACGAAGGGCCTTTCAGAGCTCCTGGCACACTGGAAGTGATCAGTAAATTTCCCATTGTATTTTTAAAAAAGACATACAGCTAGCAGAACTTCTAAGAAAGACAAGGAGTGAGAAAGTTGTATGAAGATGTTGTCAGCCACGTTATAATCAGCCAGCTGGGAACAAGTGATAATCCTCTCAGCCCCTGACCTAACGAGTCTTTCCATTTATTAGCCTCTAACAAATGTAAAAAAAAAAAAAAATTGTTTTAAATACTTTTCACTGCTTTTCTCATGAGTGAAGTTAA